TTGAACTGGCGACCCTTGGGTTCGCAGGCCAGTGCTCGACCCACTGAGCCACACCAGCCAGAGCTAAGGTTACAATTTCTGTACCCACCCACAATGCCTTTAAAGAAAATCTACTACCCAGCTGCTGCAACTGGGGCTCCTGTAGCATCGATTTCACAATTCAGTGTGTCTAGAAACACACTGACATAGTACCCATTTTTGGACTTTCTTCTTCTTTGTCCAGCGTCCTTGAGGGTCTGGACAACAGAATCCACAGCAGAGTGGCAACCTTGCCCGCTTAGGGAGTGCCCTGCCCACCCCTCCGTTGCACTCTGCCAGGGGGGCCACTAGGAAGGAGAAGCTGAACCCATAGTGTGGGCGGGAATTGATTGAAGGTGGCGGGGAGAACAAAGAAGAGAAGCCAGAATAGCTGGAAATTTGGCTAAACCTGACTGTAGTTTCCTTTACAGCCAATAGGTTGTGCCATCAGCTTTTAAATGTACAACAGCTAAGAGACTGAGGGATTGGGCTGAACAATTCTCAAGAGATTCTACAATGGAGTGAAAGGCAGCGTAGATCCAGCATTGACATAAAGGCCAGAATTCTACCACCGTCTCACTTTGTATTCTTAGACAAGGCTCAGGCTCTTCAGCTGTGGTATGTGCACAATTGCCACTGCCTTAGCTGCTCATGAGTATGATTATGAATATCATTTGTAGGCAGAAGCATAATACAATAGGATAGTGGTTATGGTATCAATACAGCAGAGATACTGGGGGCATGAAATGAGAACAGAAGTAAAAGCACATACTAGGTATCTGTTTTCTTTCTGCGCTAGGAAAGAAGCAAGAAAGACTTCTTATTTCCAGTGGACAAATGAAGGAAACCAAGAATCAAAGTGGTTAAATGAGGTATCAAAAATCACATATTCAGCCCTGGCTGGTGTGGCTCAGTGGATTGAGCAGCCTATGAACCAAAGGGTTGCTGGTTCGATTCCCAGTTGGGGCACATGCCTGGGTTGTGGGCCAGGTGTTGCAGCCCAGGTCCCCAGTTCCAGTTCCCTGGTTGGGAGCACATGAGAGGTCACCGACTGATGTTTCTGTCACACAGCAATTCCTCTCCCTCTCTTTCTCCCTCTCGTCTCCTCTCTCTAAAAAATAAATTAAATCTTAACAAAAAAATTTTTTAATGTTTCAAAAAATGACATATCCAATAAAATGAAAGAGCTAGGCCCTTGAAACTAAGCATTTTGACTCCAACATCAATGCGTTGTTTCTCATCTGTCATGCCTCAAATTCCTCACCTGTCATATGAGAATAATAATAATAATAATGACAATTATCATTAGTTTCACAAAAGCCTTCATATATGGGAAAGCACTCTCTGTAAAGTATAATATCCTATACAAATCTAAAGAATTCTTACCATTATCCCCCTTCATCCCTCAAACTTTATTTTACTAATTCTCACCAAGGTGTTAACTAATGACAGTCTTGAGGTACAGTCCTTTCCTGTGACATTTGCTTTTAATAACTAAAGCAAACAGCTAACATTTGTTGTGCAGTGACTCTTAGTCACACACTGTTATATAAGCCCTTGAGTGTATTTAGTCATTTCATATTCGGAACAACCCTGTAAGGTAGGCATTATTATCATACTGATTTTAAAGATGGTCCCTAACTTCATAGGGTAGGTTGTGTGAGAAAATGAATTCGTATAGGTAAAATGCTGGGAACAGTGCATGGGTACATAATAAGCACTGTGTAAATGTTAGCTATAATTATTAATATTACTCTCCACATTTCCTTAGTGTGAGGAATGAGGCACAGAGAACTGTGAGTCCCTGCTATGCTTGAGCATCGTCCCCCAAATGATGGGCTGTGAAGAGTCCACATCCCTGCCTCCTGACATCATGCCCTTGAAGCTACACCATCTCCTGCGCTACAAGAGCAGCCCGAGTCTTGACCACAGCCAGTTCGGTGCCAAAGCAGCTAGAGTTTTAGGAGGTACTTAGCCGTAGAGGGTTGGGTGAACAACCCTTAAAAATAAAACACCCTGGAGGAAGCTGGCCAAAGGCCAGCTTCTCTGGGAAACACAAAAGAATCAGGTTTTTCACCCTATTTGCATATAATGATCCATTGCAACCTTGTGACCTTTGCTGCTTACACAATGCATTGCTTTCATATCCATTGTCTTGGTTTAGCATTCTAACAGACCTGCAAGGTGCCTGAGGGAAGGGTGAGGATTTTTAGTTACCGGAGAAGGTTGCTAAAGTCCAGAAAGAGAAGGTTTGTCAGCAGGATTTGTGGCAGAGCTAAGACTGGAACTCCGAGCTATGGGTACCAACTGAATTTCACTTTTTTCTTTGTCAGGAAAAATCGTTCCCTTTCTGGAGGACTCAGTGTCCTCATCATCTATAAAACGAAGGGTCTGGACTTCTATCAATGTCCCCTGACATTCAGTGTTCCTACTCCACTTTGCTTCTTCCCTGCAGGCCAGTCCCTGTCTGGGTTGGTGTTCAACACAAGGAACGATAACCAGCATCTCCTACCAGCCAGCAGAGGGCACAAGAAGCCTGCTAAGGAGAGCCATTCTGCGCCAAGCCACAGGGTGGCAAGGAGCCTCCCAAAGGACTTAGGGAAGCAATTATAGGCTTGGACGGGAGGAAAGAACTAGAGAAGGGGGCAAGGAGGAAAGATCCTCGGGAATTAACTATGTAGCCTCTGGTTCACATGGAGAAACTGAGGCCCAGAGAGGGGAGGGGTCTGTCTCAAGGTTACGAAAGAAATAGGAGGTAGAAATCAGACTAAGAGCCAGTCTCCTGACCTCAGACAATGCTCCTCCAACCCCCTTAACTAACTGCAGCCACAGTACTGTCTCGGGTTTGTTTCTCTGGCGGCATGTTGTTCACAGTTATTAATAAGTTACCAAATGTCAGTAATAATGATAACAGCCGCCACTTTGCGGATGCCCACAGTGTGGCATGAGCGGTGCTAGGCTGGGAATACTGAACACTCTGGCTCCTTCAATTTCCCACAACAGCCCTCTTAGGTAGGCAGTGTTTGGACCCATTTCACAGATAAAGAGAGCAGCTCACGCACAAGCCTTTGCGACTCCAAAGCCTGTGCTTTTAAAGAGCCCACAGGGCATCTCCATGCCCAGTCCACACAGCCCCCTAGCAAGCTGACATGTTCCTCTGTAAATCTCTTCCTAGCGACTGGCAACCTTGGACATGCAGTACCCAACTGTAATTATCAGCTAATGGAATCATTCGGTTCGTTCATTTGCCTTCTTGATTGTTGGTCTTAAAACCACTGAAATGAAATTCACTTCCAGTGTTTTGCCAATTTTTATGTCCCTAAAGCTAACCAAAAATGATATATGTAGAAAGGGAATGCTAGTAAACATTATTAATGTCCTTCTCAGAAAAAGTGGGCCCATTGCTTATGTCCTGACGGGGCCAAGCTCTCTGAAAGCAGAATGTGAGGGACAATACAGGTCAAGCTGGACCACTCCACCACCATGACCAAGGAGAATTTTAATTACCCTGAAAAACACTTTGCCCTAAAATTACTGGAGAAATAAAATGCACGCACTTATGAAGACACTGTTAAGTCTCAAAGCCAGATAATCCATTCTAGTGTTTATTCAACATTCCTCCTACTACAATTTTAGCACATTTGCCTCTCTCCGTGGATGGGGGTGTGGTAAGCACCTGCTTGTCACCACTATAATCAAACTCCCTAAAAACTATAGAGGGCTAGACAAAACTACTGGATGTGGACTCAAAAGTGAAGTTTGAATCCAAATTCTATCACAATCTGTAGGACTGTGGATAAGTCACTCAACCTGTCTAAGCTTGTTTCCTCACTGGTAAAATAAGCAAAATTACTCTCACCTCACAAGTTTAAGAATTAAATAGCCCTGACTGGTGTGGTTCAGTAGATTGAGTGACAGCCTGTTAAGCAAAGGGTCACAGGTTCAGTTCCTGATCAGGGCACATGCCTGGGTTGCAGGCCAGGTCCCCAGTATGGGGCGCTCGAGAGGCAACCACACATGGACGTTTCTATCCCTCTCTTTCTCCCTTCCTTCCTCTTTCTCTAAATAAATAAATAAAATCTTAAAAAAATAATTAAATGAAAACAATATATGTGACAGCACCTGCAAGAGGATGGATATAAAGCTACCACTGAATGAATGCTGGGGGAAGAATATTTCTGGGCTGTCCTCTGCCTACATTCTTTAGGTCAAATAACAGAAGCTACCAGAAGATGCTAGAGATCTCTCAGACACCAAGATAGCCCCTTCCCCTCCACAGAGAAACTGGGGTCCAGCAAGATGACACAGATCCGGGTCATCTGACACTCAGATTGGGGGCCCTCCTTGACTATCAGTTTGTGGACTCAGCTCCAGTTGGTGGGACAAGGGAGGGTAGCAAAGAGGGGAAATGCCCGACAGGAGACCATGGCTACCTTGCGCATCATTAAATGACTCTGGTCACTCTGCTGCTACTCCCAGAGCTTCAATTTTAGTTCACAGCTGAGTTAAGGTGCAACTGCAGGACCTGAGCCCAAGGAAGGGGCAAAAATTGCCCAGGGATTGAGGATCAGTCAAGTCTCAAGTACCTGACTGGTGGGAACACTCCTTCTGGGACATTTCTGGTGGAAGGTGGGGTTGTGGGGAGGGCATGGGAGTTTAGCTAATTTCTGGGGTCCGGAATATTTCCAATGGTGATTTGAAAAGACAGCTCCCCCCTTACCTGAGTCCTGGAAACTCCAGTGCAGGCCTTGCTGGCTTCGCTCTTGGCGTCTGCCGCCCCCATACCCACGTCAGACTTCTGGGGCTGCTCGGCCTGACTGGCCCCGACAGATGCCTTGCTGGCCTCCTGCTCCTCCATCTTGCTGGGCTTCTCCTCTGGCTTCTCCAAAATAGCTTCAGTGGTGCCAGGCTCGGGGGATTCTCCGGCACTGTCATCTTCCTTGAGGAAGCTAACCACAGTCTCAGTGTCTTCCTCAACCTCGTCAGAAGAAGAGGGCTCCCTGGTGAAGGCACCACTGTAGTGGAAGCTGTAGCCTTTCTGCGGTGTGGAGTCCTCCTGGAATTCAAAGGCAGCGGAGGTGGACGCCCAGGTAAAGGCAGCCGTAGTGCAGGGACCTTGAAGCTCTCGGCCCGACAGCTCCTCACCCTCAATGCTCACTTCAAAGGTGCACGAGGACTGTGAGGCCTTGAGGGGGCAGTGCTGGCGCCTCCCAACGGCACTGCGAAATGGCGCCGCCTCAGGGGGCCCACAGGGCAAGTTGAGCTGCAAGGAGGTCTGAGAACTGGCAGTCTCCATGATGAAGACTTCGCTGTCACGGACCAAGCAGGCCTCACGGCGGCGGTGGCGGCGGCCGACCTGCGGCTCTTCCCGGGAGAATGCCCGCCACTTGCGGGCCACCTCAGCCATGTTGCTGAAGAACTTGACAACACCACCAAAAGGCGTGGCCTTGTCTCTACGCAGGTGCCCAGGACTTTCCTCATAGCCCCCTTCCACGTTCCCTTCCAAGCTGGAGCTCTCAATGGTGACCTCAAGTTCCTGGATTCTGGAGTTTCCAGCTAATATGTTTGGGGCCTCATGGTCCCCAGGGAAGATGTTTTTCACATAGGTCTTTGCCCACCTGCCCCCTCTGCTGCCAGACTGCTCAGGGGCCTCTTCCTCACAAGGCTCTTCCTCCACTTGGATGACAGAGTCTTTGAAGGCCAACACTTTCTGGTTTACCCTGTTGGGGATGTGCTCGAGCCTCGGCGCATCTGCGAGGAAGGGCTCCAGACCCTCAATGTGGCCCGCATAGGAATGGCGGAAGGGCTTTGGGATCTCCTCGGTCTTCCTCATGCGGTAGCTCCTTGGGGGCTCCTGGGGTTCCTGGACCTTGCTGCTCCTAGGAGCAGGATTCTTAGAACCCCCGGTGGAAGGCTTCAACCTCTTGAATGACTTCATTCGATCCATTAGTGTGACTTTGGGTTTCAACTCTGATGACTTCGAGGTGGCTCCCAGTAAAATCATAGACTGGGGTCGCTTCCCGTGACTGGAGGTCCCTTTTCTGCGGCTCACAAAATTCCAGATCTTGTTGACTTTGGTTTTCTTCTTGCTTTGACCACTGTCTTCCCTGGGACTCAAGTCACTTTGGCCACACTGCTCAGAATCCTCCAGTTCCACCTCCCCAGTCAGGCCTTCCACCTCAGGGCAGCTTGGGAAGGCCTGAGACAGGTAACCGTTGGGCACCAGCTCAGAGAGGGAGGCAGTCTGGCAGCTGCTGAGTGTCTCCATGGTCACAGCAAGGGGTGGGGCCACCAAGGCAGAGAGGGAGGCTTGGCCAGTGATTTCAAGCTGAAGGGGAGAGAGAGAGAAAGGGGGAGCAGGGAGAGGGAGAGGGAAAGGGAGAGGGAGAGAGGAGAGCTAGATGAGGCAAAGCCACAAACAGGTTTCTTTACAGATTTGTCATAAGCAAATATATAGAATACAATTTGTCATTACTGAGCCACCAAATCTTTAAGATCTGGATTGGAGGAGATTACAATTTATTTTGCGTACTAAGAAAAGCTTTGATTCCGGTTTAAACGCAAATATACTTGAGAGGGATATAACTTAAAGCTGCTATTCTCAGATCTTGACAACTGAGCAAATAGCAATATATTTTTTAAAAAAGCCAAAAAAAGAAAAAAAAAGAAAAAGCTGAAAGGTACCTCAGAAGTCCATCACTTTGATCCTTTCATGTTACAGGGCAGAGGGGGCACTGGAGATCCAGAGAAGACGCCTGTCTTCTCTAAGCCACAAAGCCAAGGGAGCAGCAGGTAGGAATCCAGTCCATTTTTCCCCGTCTCATTTGTTCCTCCATTCACTTGGGAAAGCAGCAAGCTGGGACTTTGCCTTCCAGGTCGCCTGCTCAGCACTCACCCTCCATCTCGGCGCTGGATACCACTGGGATGAAACAGATACATACAGCTAGTCACTCGAGCTCACAGGTAACTGGGAGAGACTGGTTGACAGAAAACAATCACAGTGCAGCCTTACAAGTGGTCTTATAGAAGGGTATGGACAAGGGCAGTGGACGCTTAGAGGGAGCAAGGAGGGGGCCGTAGAGTGAGGAGGTGCAGGGCCTGGGGAGAGGCAGACAGAGAGAAAATGGGGGGTCCCCAAGAATGCTTCTCAGAACAGCGGGGACTAGATCCACGAGCTCACTCCATCCACTGCTCTTTGTCCCTCTGCCCTGTACAACCGGGGAGTAAGGTTTGCTAAGAGAGAGACAGGCAAGAAGGCAGGTTGACACGCAGAGGCTGAAAGAAAAAGGAAGGGGAGAGAGAGGAAAGTGGGCAGAACCCGGAGCCCCAAAGACAGTTTCTGCCTTTTTGGTGATTTTCCCAGGGGTCAGCTCACTCACTCAGGGTCTGTTTGTTCCTCCTTCTCCTCTCAACTTCACTTGAACTGGATCACACCTTCACTCTGGGTCCTTCCTGTTCTTATTTATGTGCATAGAATGTGTTGGACTCAGAAAAAGTTCAAGTTGGAGGAAACGAGAAAGGTTATTTAGTTTGGAAAAACAGATTCAGAAAGCGGCAAAGGCTTGACCCCTCACACATCAAGCCAGGGGCAGGATAAAAAGAGAAGCGTAGTCCTCCAGCAATGAGTGGCACAGCTAGGACAAGGACAATGGGCATGAAGGGCCCTTACCTCTGTTCCACACTCCCAACCTCTTTCACGAGTTCTGTTCCTCCAAGTAGGCTGTCTGTACAACTCAGGATGATAATAACAGCTAACATTTATAAGCAAGGCACGGCACTAAGTTTTTCTTTATCTACAATGACTTAGTTCTCACAGCAACCCTTTGACGTGGATACTATTGTTATTCCCATTTTAAAGAAGGTTCAATTGAGGTGCAGAAAGATTGAATTATTTGCTTACGTCCTCCATAGCCATGACTAATAAAGTTGGGAATTTGAGTCCAAGCAGTGGAATCACTGGGTCATAAGACACAGAGAACAGGTCCATGAACAAGTCTGCCTGCCTGCCTGCTGATTCTTTTGGCAGCACCAGAGCAGAGCTAGGATCCTTAAAAAAAAAAAAAAAAGGGCATCTACACACATTCTTAGTGCCAGGGCTAGAGCGGGGGAAGCGAGTTGGTAGGAGATGACCACTATACCTGACAACCCTCCTAACAGAAAGCCGTCCCAAATCAGGGAGGTGAACTCAGGACTCTGGCAGCCAATAACCCTTCCCCTTGGATTTTGCTCCCTGTAGAGCTCAAAAAAAAGAACATGCCCTGAAGAGATCCAGTCTTAGACTCTAAGTCCAGCTAAAGCCAAAAAGAACTGTTGAGATTCCCTTGGTCGACTCCGCCCCCCATTTCTCGGGACATAACTGAGGCACAGAAAATTCAAGTGAAAAGCAAGCCAGGCGCACATTGCATCTTCGGGCACCGGCCACAGCTGCAGAGCTGGAAGGGATGTTGGAAACTACCTAGCTCGGCCCTTTATGCTGCAGCTGGGTGACTGAAGATGACAAGGTCAAGGGACCTGCTAAATGAAAAAGTAGGACCAGGCTTCCCAGGCCAGCGCACCATGCCCCTCCGCTGGTTCTCTCGTCATCCTGGTGTTAACAGGAAACCCACTGACCACAGGGAAGGCTACGAGGCTGAATGCCCCTATGGGGGGACTTAAGGAGGGAAACCAGAAAAAAATGTATTTTGAAGAAAACCTGTTTGTTCTAGGCATCCTTTTATAAGAGTGTTGTAAAGTAATTAAGATTACCAAAAGGGATATATGAGGTGAAACATTTATCAACCAATTTGATAAGGTTCATTGGACCAAAAACACTCTTCCTAAGACAGAATTAGAGCTATCATTATAGCACACAACAGCAGGGGCCTCCTCTGTCACAAAGCAAACACTTCATTCATGCCTCTATGAGGCACTTATCACTCCACACTTTGATTACTTGTTTCCACTCTCAGATGTGCCTGACTCACCCACAAGACCAAGAGCTTTTTCAGAATAAATGCTGGGTCTTGTTGACTTTGCCATCCCCGGTGCTTACTGCGTGTCTGACATATAGTTTTGGTGCTCAAGAATGAGGATCTAGAGCAGGGGTTGGCAAAACCAAGGCCTGTCACCTGTTTCTGTAAAAAACATTTTATTGGAAATCAGCGAAACTCATTTGTTTACATAGTTTCTATGGCTGTTCTTGTGCTACAAAAGCAGATGAGCCGTTTCAGTTGAGACTACATAGTCCTCAAAAGCCCAAAGTATTTATTATCTGGTCCTTTACCAAAAAAAAAAAAAAGAGGTTTGCAAGCCCCTGCTGCAAGTAGTATTTTGTGTGCCTGTATAGCTTACCACTCTTACATTCCTCTAGAGGGGGTATTTATGGCTCCATTTTACAGACAGTCACGATGGCAATCACGGGAGTGAACTAGTTCATATCACTCAAAGTATTCCACACACAAAGGTAAGACTTAGGAATGGGGACATTTTTTTTTTAAAGATTTTTTTAAAAGATATTATTTATTTATTTAAGACAGACGGGGAGGGAGGGAGAAAGAGTAGGAGAGAAACAACCCAGGCATCTGCCCTGACTGGGATTCAAAGAGGCGACCCTTTGGTTCGCAGGGTAGTGCTCAATCCTCCGACCCACACCAACCAGGGCAGGAATGGAGACATTTTTCATTTGCCTACTTAAAGGCTCCTGGTCCCACAGGCAATGAGTGGCAGAGCTAGGACAAGGACGATGGGCATCTGGTATCAAATACAAGCCTACTTTCCTGCACCTGACTCTTTCCTTAGGAGCTTTAATAAGTAGGATAATGAAAGATGATTCATTCCCATTTCCTACCGAAGTGCCATTGCATGATACGAGAATTGCTTAGGTCAATAGGCACTCATGCCCGAACTCACTTGAAAATTGAACACAGTTCTAAATATCAAGCAATCTTGCAATCAGCTTTCTGTGCTATACAGATACTGTGAGTGTCAAGTGAGGTGCCACTTAAGACAATAAGGGTGATAATGACTAATCAGAACATACCCTCACCCAAGCACTGGGCTAAGCGCTTTCTTTATATGTATCATCTTGCTAATCCTCATCACTAGGGTAGGAAGTATTATGATCCCCATTTTAAATGCAAAAAAAAAAGGCTCAGAGTAGCGAGGTAACATGCCCAAGGTCACACTTAGAGCCAGGATTTGAACTCAGGCTGTTCTGTACCAGAGCCTGTGTTCTTCCCTCAGCGCCCACACTGCTCCTCAAAGTATAACACAGTGTCTGGCACATCATACCACTCAGTAAGCAATTTCTGGGGTTATGTTTTGTGTTATTTTTATCAGCAGCTACCATTTATTGGATGTTTGCTGTGTAGAAGGCATTGTGCTATGCAATTTCCTAAGTATTAACCACCTGAACGTTCACAACCACGCAATGAGGCTGGTACTATTATTATCTCAAATTTGCAATTCAGGAAGCCGAGGTGCAGAAAGACTAAGGAACTTGACAACAGTCGCACAGCTAGCATATGGCTGGAACTATCAATGTGCTTGGTACTCTAGGGGCGGAAGGCATAAGAGTCAGGCCTGGAAGAAACCTGGAAAATGACCTAGTAGATTTTTTACTTTCTGTCAAAGGATAAATAGCAGAATCCACTGCATGGGGAGAAGCCATAGGCAACCAGTGCTTGATAAGCCCCTTAAGAAGATAATAATGGTGGTGATAGATTTCTTCCCTGGGGCTCACCTCCAACCATCCCATCTGCTCAGGCCACTGGCTTCTGCTCTCACTCAGCACAGAGGAAGAGCAGGTTACTTAACTGCCCTTCCCCTAATTCTTTTATTTCTTTTTAAATCTTAGAGTTATAGGCTCGAGCTTTCTAACCCAGCCCTGTGACTTCCTCACGGTGACCTTGGGCAGGCCCCGTCTCTCTTCAAGCCTCAGTTTCTCCATCAGTAAAATGGAGAGAAAGATGCGCCCCTCCTTGGGTTGGTAGGAGCATTCAAAAAACTCCCAGCATGCCTTGGCTGGGTAGCTCGGTTGGTTGCAATGTCACCCCATACACCCAAAGGTAGCAGGTTCGACCCCTGGTCAGGACACACATCAAGGTTCTGGGTTCGATTCCTGGTCGAGGCACATATGGGAGGCAACCAATGGATGTTTCTCTCTCACATTGATTTTTCTCTTTCACATCAATGTCCGTCTGTCTGTCTATCTATCTGTCTCTCTTCCTCCCCCCTCCTTCCCTCCCTCTCTCTCCCTTCCTCTCTCTCTAAAATCAATAAATATATCCTCAGGTCAGAATGTTAAAGAAAAAAGCACTGTTTTCTTATTTTAAAAAAATTCCTAGCATATTCTCTTATACTCGACAGATATCAGGATAAAAACTCCATCTCTTGTAAAGTCACCCAAGTGGAAAGTGAATGAGCCCAGACTATTTTCTGAAATCCCGGAAGCACTCTAATACACATTCTCTGAGGTGCTTCCCTCGTAAGTGGCAGCCCAGCAGCTGCCTGTGTGGTCTTAAGGAGAAGAGACAACTGGACTCTGAAGCCTGAGAGCACACAGAGGCTGATGTTGCCCTTAAGGGTGGCCAAAAACAGTGGTGACAGCAATCGGCAATGTGGCCAAAGGTCCCATCCCCCAGAGGGGAGGAAAGGCTGACAAACTTTAGTTCCAAGGGGCTAGTTTACCCTTCTTAATTCTTTTGCCTGTCTTGCAGTCTTGCTAAATTCATAATTTTTTCAGTTTCCTTTTCCTATAGTCCCCCGTCCACACAGGAAACAAGTAGCTGCACACTTAGTTCTTTTCTACTTAAAATCCAGCAGCTTTTCTGGAAATCAAAAGTAGAATGTCAGAGTTAGAGCTCAGCTAGTCTAATTCCTCATTTAGCAGATGAGGAAACTGAGGTCCAAAGAGATTTAGTGGCTTACCCACATCCTTTC